GCGGCCGTTGGTCCCCGCGACGCGTGAGGGGAGCGGCACCGCCGCCGTCCCGCCTCACGGGCAGAGGGAGCGGGGGGAGGGAGCACCCTCCGGCCCACCCCACCGCCCCCTCACCCGCCCCTGGGGCGGAGAGGCCCGAGGGAGGAGAGGATCCGGCCGGGCTGCCCCGGGGGCCGGTGACCGGCTCGGAGGAAGGGACGTTAGTCCGCCTCTGCGGGCTTGTTGGCGATGACAAGGACAAGCACCCGGCCTGGTGGCCGCTGGCTTCTGTGCCCGAGCGGGGTGAGGTGTGGGGAGGCCGGCGGTATCGACAGGGCTCCCGTGTTAGTTGGTAGGCCTGCTTCCTAGCAGGAAAACATCCTTCTAACGTGCTTTCAAAATTTGCTGGATGGTCTGAAGTCAGTACAGAGCATTGCAGTCTGTGAAACTGGAAATTTGGAACCTGAAAAGCCTTTATGGAGCAAAGAAGCAGATAGCAGCTGGAGAGAAGCTGCTGTCCTGTTTATCTCTGCCACAGGCCTCTGTCTGCCACCCCTCGGTCCGAGTGTACGTGTGTTTGCACGTGGAGGTTCTGCAAAATGTCATGTTCCCAAGCAAAGGACGAGATCCTGGTTTTCAGAGGCAGTTCTGACATTTCAGATTCCTTTGAGGGTTGGCTAGTAAGGATCAACTTTGATTTTCCTTTTCAGGTTATATATAAGCATATATGGGTGTATATTTTTAATAAATAGATCTTTATGATAAGTTTTGTTACATGTAACTAGTTCCTGGTGCCTTGTGTAAATGCCAACTTTGTTATACTGCAGTTGCCGTATGAGGTAGTAATTTGTGGGGCCAACCCCACAACTGTACGGCTGCTCCCTTGTCTGCTCTCGATTGAGACAAGCAGCATTTCCACAGTGGATATAGAGGATTGTAGGGATCAGGTGAAATCGGAAGGAGACTTTAGTGACTATATTGGATTCTTCAACTGTGCTGCCTTAGCTAGGGAAAAATCAGTCCAGTTTTTAGACTGTTGAGAGAAAAGTGTTGCAAAAATGTGTGTATAATATTCAGACTTGGACTTGTAAACTGTATTTTATGTATAGAGTAGGGAAGGTGTTTATTTTCTAATTGCTACAAATGTAGTAAACAGGAATGCTAAAGTAGTTACAGTGATGTAGACATTCTTTACAGGAAATATGTATGGAAGCAAGTAGAAAGAAAGCATTGTGCAGACATCCTCTCCCAGAAAATCTATTTTGTACTTATGCTTGGGACAGTAAAATTCAGTTTTGCTTGCACTGCTGAGAAATCTTGGAAGTACAGTGGCCTGAGTAAACCGTATGGGCATGACTTCCTGGAAGAGAACCTAATACACACTGTCTCAATTACAGCTGTTCATGAAACATAAGAGCAATATTAGGTATCAGAGTGTCTTGTTCCTAATCTTGGTGTGGTATAAGCGCACTATTAGCCAGAGCACCAACCAGCTAGACTAGCCAAATGTTCAGGTTTATATGTTTATTCTCAAACGTTACAAACAGAAATAGGGAAGCTGGTTTTATTCCTATGATTTGTGCACTTTCTTTATTTTTGCTTTGTATGGGAAGGATATGATAGTTGCCTGCTATTTAGGATAAAGCTATGAGGTCATGATGAGTAATAATGGCTGTGAACAATACTTATCTGAAGAAATGTAACTGGAACCCAGGATCACTCGGCCACCATTTGAGGCTGAAGAACAGTCTGTGACAAAGCTGGCTCCTTTGCTCTACCACTGGCACGGGGAGGGATGACAGAACTAGACAAAGCTTAAGTATCAGGTCAAATAGTGAACACTTGGTAGGTTTGGACCTTTTTTTTTCCTTTTTTTTTCCCAGCCATAACATATGAAAACATAATAGGATATGTAAAAACATGATAGGACAAGGGGCAATGGTCTTAAACTGAAAGAGGGTAGATTTAGAATGGACATAAGAAAGAATTGTTTTACAGTGAGGATGGTGAAACCCTGGTCCACGTTGCCCAGAGAGGTGGTGGATGTCCCGTCCCTGGAAACGTTCCAGGCCAGGCTGGACGGGGTTCTGAGCAACCTTGTCTAGTTGGAAATGTCCCTGCTCATTGCAAGAGAGGTTGGAGTAGATGGCCTTTAAAGATCCCTTCTGGCCCAAAATATTCTATGATTCTATAATGGCAAACCTCTTAACATCCTATGAATAGCTTGCAGATCCTGAAATTCAGAAACTGGTGTGTGCCTTTTTATTGCTCAGGAGTTTGTTGGACAGCTTGGGGTATGTGTTTCTCCATTTGTCTGCTCTTCTCAGAATCAAAGTATTATCTTAAAATACATATATAACCACCTGTTTCTAAATTTGAGAAGAAAACTCCTTATTCCCTGACAGAGCAAGAGTTGTCATTCCATCCTCATTTCTTCCCCTTAACAAGACCGGATACACAGCTGCTCTGTTCAAACACTTGCTTTATTCTCCCCAACAATCTCCTCCTTCAAGTTGCTCTCCCTCATCCCCTTTTTCCCTTAATTTTCACTTTTTATTCTTTATGCTTCCTTCTCTGCATTGGCAATTTCTACTATAAATCTCAGGTTGCCTCTTGCAGTTTTTTCATTTTTTAAACTATTCCTTCCCATATCATCCCCTAGTAGTCTTCTTTGTTCCTTCCGTCTCCATGATGTTCATTGGGCTGTTTTGTCCCCTCACCTTCACCTGTAGTAGCTACATTTGAGCCCCGAGAGAACTCTCCTGAGAACAGACTCCCTTTCACCAGTGCAAAGTGAGGGAAAATTATTTCTAATAACCAAGACTCGGCCAAGTTCAGCCTCACTGGTACTAACTGGAGGTGGCAGCCATTCTGAATTAAGTAAAACTGCACATTTGAAGGCAAGTACAGAACTTAATGAAAATTGCCAAAACCGCTGTAAGCTATTTAGAGCTTAAAATTGAGCCCTAAATTTGGCTATGAGATTTATGTCAAAAGAGCAATTTTTAAAATACTAAATTGTTTGATAACAAACTTATACAGAATTAAGCTTAAGAAAGAAGTTGAAAGGCAATTACTGTAAGAGTAATATGGACGTGTATTAAATATTTACCTGACCATTTCAGCAAGGCCTGAAAAAGAGGCCAAATAATGAAGGACCAGTACCTTTATACAGTTCTTTTGATCTGACAACATTAAGACTGTTGGAATTATTCACTGTTTTCAACAAAGCTAAGTAACCTGGCAAGATCAAAGTATTCTATTTTGGCAAAACTGCATTTTAACCGCTATGATAGTAATATGTAAAATTAAATTACAAGATCAGATAGGCATTTTTTGTCTATTTGATTCCATCCTTAAAAAGACAGGGAGCCCTCAATTAAGCTAAAATGAAACAAATCTAAACTGAGAGAAATGTTTGTACAATAAAACTAATTTTGTCAGTAACATAAATCTTCATTTTAACCTTCAAGCTAGTCAGAATATTCCCTTTCTGGAAAAAAAAGACTAGCATGGTTTATTAGTCATAGTAGGCTTAAATTGCCTCATAGTGTATTTCATACAAAAAAAAAATACACTCAATACAGTGTTAATTGAGTTAGCTGGGCTTATTTGGGCCTTTCCTACATTTGTTTCTTTGGAACTGGCCCAGGACAAGTAATTCAGATACCAGATTGAATTAAGCTCTTGTGCTTTGATACAGCTGCTGTTATTATCCTTTAACTTCCAGTTAAGAAAGAGTTGGCTGGTAGAAACAAAAAATGTTTTTATTCCAGTGGCTAGTTGATCAAAAGCTGTCTTTATGGTCCTGGAGTGAATTTGTGAATATCCTAATGACCACTCTCCTTATCATAATAATTGATCTACAAAGTGAAGCTCTCTCCAGGGAAGAACTGACAGCAAGGGTGCGGTCTCTTCCACAGGAACCCTCAAACAGTCTGAAAAACAGTAACCCAGAAGTAAATAGGGACATAAAGGAGGGGTATAGGCCACCTAGAGCCAGCCTTGTGCTCGCTGGGGTATATAAACAAATGAGGCATTTTCAGCTGCTGTAAGAAAGCAGTTTTCCTGCCCTTAATGATTCAGAGTAGCACAAACAAGTTAGAGCAAGTGTTGAGAAACTGTTAATTACAGCATTGATTTAAGGCAGGCAGACCATGCAGTCCAACATAAACAGACTGTAGACAGCAGAGACATAAGTATTTTAACAACCCATTTTCAACTCGCCTAATTTATCTTTCTCAGCTTTAGTCATCTCTCTTTCACCCATAAAGCTATGCATATTTAGTCCTTTGAAAAATCAGCCTGCAATTTTATTAAACACTGGTATTTTCACACTTCTGATTTCAACTATGTTATTTCTGTGCAAGCATTAGTATTTGGTCCTAAGTAGTATTATGAATAATTACCCAGAATAAATATCCAGAATAATTCATGGACCAGTGTAAGACAGGACACAAGTGCTGCTAAACAAAATTCTGAAAACTTTACCCATCCTACATTAATCATCAAAATAGTAATATTTTATGAAAGGAAGTCCTGCTGGGCTGTGTATCGATGTGGAAGGTAGTTAGCTGGATGTGGAACGACAGTGTACAGAATAGATTGAATGTTAAATAGTAAAATTTGCACCTTCCATTTTTTCTGAGTGGCTTATTTTTTTGGTAGAATTTTCAGTGGAGTAACAATAACACGGTAATGAACAAGTAGTAACTTAGAAATTGGAAACTATTAAAATAGTACAACTTTTTGGCTATGTGCTGCTTTTGATTTGTTTTAAATTTTCATACCTGACCTATTTGTGTTTGAGTTTCAGAATGCTTCTAGAAATTACATTATGACAGGTGATTATTTAATATTTTCTTCATCTAAGCAACCTGATACAGTCTCATTTATAACAGCTGTGTATTTTATAGCCAGTGTGAGCTTATAATTAATTTCTTATACTAGAAGTTTGGAAATGCTAGAACTATTTCTTTGACTAGTGATTGTTGTTCTGAATAGGTAGCTATTTGATCTGGGCTTATAAATGCAACTATTAAAAGCTCTTACTTAATTACTGTCTTTCAGTTCAATCTGACAGATATTTTTTCAGAGCCGGTGATTTAGATTGGAGCAGTTTTCCCTGGAAAGAGGGACTGTGCATGTGTTTTTTTTTCCCTTTGGAGCCCTTTCCTCTCAGGGTAGGCAGCAGGGAAAAGCCATCAGTGGATGAGACTTCAAAGCCCATGATTCCTGGGCAGAGCATGCGCTGAAAATCTGCCGCTGTCAAAGTGCTCTTGCCAGGGTGGTCGACTATTTGTCACATACCAAACCTGAAAGAAGAAAATAAATATACTGTCATTTTGTTGATCTGTAAATACAGAAAATCCAAAGGTAACTGTTCCTTAAAAATTTCTGTTGGCTGCGTGGGTTACTGCATGCAAACGGAGCTGGTATTGCTGTGGGGATATAATTTCCTGTACTGGATTGTAAATTTGTACAAATACTTAACACCAGCAAATAATCAAGAGGTACTGCATATTAGCCCAACGTTAGACATTGGCTGGCCTGTTTCAAAGTCATTTATTATCCCAGTGTTTTTCCGTTCAGACTGGCTTCATTCATTAAAGGTAGGTGTTGACCTTGACAAGAGGGTTGAATTGTGCAGTGATTTTTACCTTTAGGAAGCAATATGAAAAATGAATGTGGATTACAGTCCTTAGGACAAAGTTTAAAAACAACTAGTGAAGTCAAGGTACATATTTGAAGCAACTGCTGTGCTAGCCACTATAGATAACCTGGTGACTAACTGATTTAAATATACTTTACTGACGACAGAATTTTAATATTCAGCTGCTATGTTTTTCTCTCTAAATATATATTTGTACTGATAGCTCAGAACCAGGGAAGGGATAAATATAATCTTTTTCTCTCTCTAATGTTGAATCATCAGTAATTTTATATAGCCTTAGGAGTAATAGTGATTTTGTTAGAAATGAAGCTAATGGAAAGCTACCCCAAGTTTGGTATGTTATGGCTTGCTGCAGTATTGCTTTAAACTGCACCCCCAGAAGCAGCAGCACTGCCTGTTACAGATGCAATAGTTTACTCAATTCTTCTTGGGAACTTGCCTTAATGTTGTTTCACTGTATGGTCTGTTAATGAACCTTTGCTGTTCAGTTTACATATTGAACAGGTAAATAATAGGGAGCATGAGCAGTAACTTAATTGGTATCAGATACCTGTCCTGACATTCATTTTAACTAAAAAGGATCTGTATGGCTCAGAAGAGATTTAAAAGAAAGAAACAAAAAAAATGTTAAAGATACACATGCACCATCTGAAAACTGTTGATGTCATGGAGGGAGAGGGTCATCAATTTCACTCTTTGCCACCTTTTTTTAACAGTTAATTGATTTGGCTTAACTTTACCTTGTTACATTAAAACAACAGTCCTAAAAAATGCAATCTGAGGAATGTACATGTCGTATGATTAACTCAATAGAAATGCAATTAGGCATTCAGCAATGACCGTCTTTGACATAGTTACTCAATTAAAGTAAGTAATTTTTGGCTCATTTAAAATACTTTTGAGATTTAGAATGATCTCCTCAATTGACTAAAAGTCGGCAAAATAGAACAGGAGGTTCTTGTTCTAGTTCCATACAATTGCTGTTCATTGCAATGTATACATATGTATATGCATTGTGTTTCAAAATAATAATCAAATTATATGATCTCTCCTATTTCGTATGAAGCACCATTTCTTGCAGATATAACTCAAGAGTTCTACATACATTTACTTTTCAAAGTGTAAACTTATATATCGATTTAACAAATAATTTGCATCGCAATTCTTTGTCTTGTGCATATAAAGATGGCTTTTAAGATGTGGCATGTCTATATTTTAAGTATTCCGATTTGTCCTATTTTTATTTTTCTTTGTGCAAACGTCAGAAACCTCATAGTCTAATAATACCTCCCAGATCTACTCATTTTGACCTTATTTTTTTCCAGTGGAGAAATTACTGATGATTTCACATAGGGAGAAATGTAGCGAGTAGAAATACCTTGAAGCAAAGGGCTGCTTTGATGTAAAATAGCGCTTACACGGAAAGATCGTAAGGTCACTGAAGGCAAATCTGACACCGGTGGGTGGCTTTTTTCATGGGGTGTCCCCACATTGCCCCCCCGCTCCGCGTCCCCGTCCCCCCCGGTCCCTGCCCGCGGCAGAAAGGAGCCAGAAAAGGCTCTTGCAGCCAAGAACCGCTCCCGAGCGGGGCTCCGTGCCCGCGTCCTCGGACACACCGCAACCAGCGGCAGCTTGTTTGTTAATTAAGAGAAATCGGTACCCGGCGCCTTTAAAGATCCCCTAATAGAAAAGGGGGTGGAGAAGAGCGAAGACTGGTGTCTTTTTAACCTTGCTGAAGGACGCAGCAGTATTTATTGACGTATGCAAATAGCCAGGGGGAGGAGGAGGAGGGTGCTTGGAAAAACAGGAACCAGAATCAGTTTCTCATTGCAGGGTGAGAGCTCTGAGTTCCGGTGTAAGAGAAAAAGAGACGTGGCGAAATTGCTGTATATCTCTGCCCTACAAGTACATCTCTCATTTAGACTGAAGGGAAACAAGGCATCAAAAAGGGTGAAGCATCTTAAAAAAGATTTTAAAGGCAATCGAGCTCGATCGAAGGTTACATATTCCTAAATGGGGGAGGGGGAAGATTACGGGTTTGCCTTGCAACTTGCTGTAGCGTATCACTAGCAGTAAGATGAGATTTCTGGCCGGCAAATGATTAAAACAGCCTGGTTTGTGGTGTGCATAACAATGCTAATAATCTGTCTTTGTGGTTTTTTCCCCTACTGTTTCAGCTGCGCAAACCATGCAGGATGATTTACTGATGGACAAAAGCAAAGCCCAGCCCCAGCAGCAGCGGCAGCAGCAGCAGCAAGATCCAAACTCAGCGGAAGCCCCTTCTACACCCATCTCGTCGGAGACACCTAAACCAGAAGACAACAGTTCAGTGACTAGTATCGGCACATCGGCTCCTTCCCAAAATAGCAAGGAGAAGATGCAGATGGAGTCTCCCATTTTGCCTGGCTTGAGCTTTCACCAGCCTCAACAAGAACCTGCAGCCGGC